GGGGTGCCGGGGGGGGGGGGGGTGGGGGTCCCCAGGGGGTCCCAGATCCGCCCCTCCCCCCGAGCATGGCGGCCCAGAGTCTCCTCCTCCTCCTCCTCCCGCTGCTGCTGCCCCCGGCCGTGCCCGCCAGCCCCGGCCCCGGCTGCCGCCTCCGCTGTAAGAGCCGGGGGGACCCCCTGGACCCGCAGCCCCTCCGGGACCTCCGCGGTCCCCCGTGCCCAGGCACCGTCCCACGGCCGCGGGACCCCTCCCCGCTCCCGGGGGATCCCCCACCCCCCCGGGAGTTCCGGTCCCTCCCGTGACCCCCCGAGAATCCCGGGACTCCTCACTGGGACCCCGCCCCCCACGGGACCCCCAAATCCCACTGCTGACCCCGCCCCCCCGGGACCCCCCAAACCCCACTGCTGACCCCGCCCCCCACGGGACCCTCTCAGAGACCCCCGGGACGGAGCTGGCCCCTCCCCGGTGCTCGAGGCCCCGCCCCTTCCCCCAGGCCCCGCCCCTTTTCACCCCTCCCTTCCCCAGGGGTCCCGGTTCCCCTCCCGCGGGGGGCGGGGCGCTGCCGGCCGGGGGGCGTGGCCTCGCTGGGCGCATGCGCGGGGCACTGCGAGTCGCGCGCCGGCCCCGCCCCCCGCGCGCTGCTGGACGCCGGAGGGCGCCCCCTGCTGGCCGAGGCGCGCTGCTGCACCATGGAGCACGTGACCAGGGTGGGCGGGGCCTGGCGGACGGAACGGGGTGGGGGTGGGGCTGTACAGGTGTGGGCGGGGCCTGTGAGGGTGTGACAGTGTCCTGTGAGGGTGTGTCCAGGTGTGACAGGTGTGGGCGGGGCCTGTGAGGGTGTGACAGTGTCCTGTGAGGGTGTGTCCAGGTGTGACAGGTGTGGGCGGGGCCTGTGAGGGTGTGACAGTGTCCTGTGAGGGTGTGTCCAGGTGTGACAGGTGTGGGCATGGCCTGTGAGGGTGTGACAGGGGCGTGTCCAGGTGTGGGTGTGTCTAGGTGAGGGTGTGGCCTGTGAGGGTGTGATGGGGTGTGTCCAGGTGTGGGCATGTCAGGGGCGTGTCCAGGTGTGGGTGTGGCCTGTGAAGGTGTGACAGGGATGTGTTCAGGTGTGGGCAGGGCCTGTCAGGGTGTGACAGGGGCGTGTCCAGGTGTGGGTGTATCAGGGGCATGTCCAGGTGTGGGTGTGTCCAGGTGAGGGTGTAGCCTGTGAGAGTGTGACGGGGTGTGTCCAGGTGTGGGCATGTCAGGGGCGTGTCCAGGTGTGGGTGTGGCCTGTGAAGGTATGTCAGGGTGTGTCCAGGTGTGGGTGTGACCTGTAAGATTTTACAGGAGTGTGTCCAGGTGTGGGTGTGGCCTGTCGGGGTGTGGGTGGGGCCTGTGAAGGTTTTACAGGGGTGTGTCCAGGTGTGGGTGGGGCCTGTGAAGGTGTGATGGGGTGTGTCCAGGTGTGGGTGTGTCCAGGTGTGGGTGTGTCCAGATGAGGGTGTGTCAGGGTGTGTCCAGGTGAGGGTGTGGCCTGTGAGGGTGTGATAGGTGTGGGTGTGGCCTGTGAGGGTGTGTCAGGGTGTGTCCAGGTGTGGGTGTTGCCTGTGAAGGTGTGACAGGGGCGTGTTCAGGTGTGGGCGGAGCCAGCACAGGCGTGTCTGGGGCGTGTCTGCCCCTGACCACGCCCTCCCTGCCCCTCCCCCAGGTGCAGGTGACCCTGCGCTGCCCGGGGGGGTCGCGGCGGCTCCGGACGGTGTCGGCCACGTCCTGCAGGTGTGACATGTGCCGGCTGGCCCGGTACTGACCCGGTACTGACCCGGTACTGACCGGTACTGACCCGGTACTGACCCGGTACTGACCGGGACTGACGCAGTACTGAACCGGTTCTGATCCCCGGTACTGACCCGGTACTGACCCGGTACTGACCCGGTACTGACAGGTACTGCCCCAATACTGACCGGTACTGACCCGGTACTGACCCGGTTCTGATACCCACTTCTGACCCAGTACTGAACCAGTACCACCCCCGGTACTGACCCGGTACTGACCCGGTACTGACC